CAATTTAAAAAAATATTAAAGATATTTTTAAAAGAGAAGAAAATATTTTCCAGCTCTGATCTTATCCCTCCAAGTATTGATTTTGGTGCTACCAACAGATTTTGGCAAGTAAATGAATTCACAAGTATCGAATTCATGAATTGTAAGGCTCAACTGTAATTTGTGTTAAGCATGGTGAGCATATGGTGGAAATGGAGAACATTACAGTGAGTGAAATAAGATAGACACAGAAAGACAGACATCTTTACAATATATATATATATATATATATATACACATACATTTTTTTTTTTTTAATTTCAGGCTGGGCTTGAACTCACCATGGAGTCCAAGCTGGCCTCAAACTCATGGTGATCCTCCTGCCTCAGCCTCCCAAGTGCTGGGATTACAGGCGTGTGCCACCAGGCTCAACTGTTTTTGATTTTTGAGACAGGGTCTTACTATGTAGTTCAGGCTGGCCTTGAACTCACCCCATAGTCCAGAATGGGCTTGAACTCATGAAGATCCTCCTGCCTCAGCTTCCCAAGCGTTGGGATTACAGGTGTGTGCCACCATGCCCAGTTTACAGTATCTTCTGATAAACTGAAGTGCATAAATGTACCATGAAATGCCAGGATTTTTCATTGTGTTTTTCATTTTCTGTGTCTTAGGAATTTTTGCCTGTTCTGAAGATAGAGATATTTTTCTGTATCTCCTAAACCAAATTTAATGGAGCTCTGGTCCACTATAAGTATTTTTCCTACAGTTGGGTCCCCCTCTTTTTATATAGCAAAAAATTTATAGGGCCGGGGATTTGGCTTGGTGGTGCTGCTGCCTGCCTCAAAAGCACAAGGTCCCGAGTCCGATCCCCAGCACCAAAAAAAAAATTTTATTGGTACATTTTAGGCATACATAATGATAACACTTATCATAGGGAATTTGCACCTGTACACAATAACACCATTATACTATTCAAGATCTTAAAAACTGAAACAGGAAACAAATCTTTGTATTCAGATAAAAGAAAGTTTGGTTAGTTCTATGGAGAGGTAATTAGAGACAAAGGTACTTTAATGTGACTATAACGTGGTGCTCTGTCGTATTATTATTCAAATGTAAAAATATCTTTCATTTTCTGATTTCCTTTATTTCTGCTTTTTGTTTTATAGATATAAGACCAATTCTGCTCAGCTGCTTGTTGAAGCTCGAGTTCAGCCTAATCCATCAAAACATGTGAGTATCTCCTTGAGGGTGTCTTTGAATGCATGTGGTTCTTGCTGTGGCTTATACTAGTATCACTGAGAACCATCTTTGTTTTGCTTGTCAGGCAGGATGCCCAAAATACTTGTTTCAGGTCTTGTATTTCTGTTATAGTTTGAAAAGTTACCTCATAGATAGGCAGTAACTAATTGCTTGTCCTTGGGCCCTTTTTTTAGCCTTACTTTACCTTCTTCTTTGCATTCATACAACCTTCACTCTCTCCCTTCTGGGTGTGTTGGTGTTCCCAAGATTACTGCATACTTCTGTGACACTATACCTTCCCTGGCCTAGAATGTTTGGACTCTGAGGAATGGAATTTACCTGTAAAGACTCAAATCTAAGCTGCCTTTTCACAAAGCCTGTTTCCTGTGATCACTGCCTTCCACACTTAGATCTAATTATGTCTTTAAACTGTTTTTGTTTTCGTGCCACTGGAGTTGGAACCCAGGTCTGTACACTAAGCTAGCCTTTTTTTTTTTTTTTTTTTGAGATAAGGTTTCATGAAGTCACTAAATTGCCTAGGCCAGGCTGGAATTTGTAATCCTCCTGGCTTGGGCCCCCAGAGTGGTCAGATTACAGGTGTGTGTCACCATACCTGGCTTATCTTTAAACTTTTTAGTGTGTGTTGTAGTGATTAAAACTCATCTTATTTCTTCTACCATAGGAACTGTATCTTTACAGAGCATAGCAATTTCCTTTATATCTGGGAGATCAAGGAACATTTGTTGAATACTGTTTGAGTGAGGGTTTTGTTAAAAGAGCTATTAGAAGAGGGAATTGAGACTCAAATCACATACTTCTGTAACCTCTTAGAGAAAGATTTCCAGAAGCACACTGGATAAACATGAGAATACAGTCCTTTTCCTCAACTTATTTTTTAGTTTTCTAGAATCTCATGTAAATTTGTAAGTGCAGGCTGAGGATGTAGCTCAGTGCTGGAGTATCTGCCTACCAAGCCTGAGGCCCTACGTTCCCTAGTGTGGGAAAAGGAGAAAATTATAAATGGACTTTGCTTTGTTTTGTAGTTTTAGTCAGGGTCCCCAGAAGTTTGTTCGTTTTTTGTTTTGGGGGCGTTTTTTGGTACCAAGGATCGAACTTGGGAACTTGCACTTCCTACCCAGAAGTTTTTGACTTCTAGTTTGTGTGGCATGGCATAGGTTCTGGAGTTCTAGCTTTATAGTCATTTGTATACATGCCAGAGGAGTTTCTAACCTTTCCCTCCAAGTTAGTTAGATATGACATCCCTTTGCTGTGTTTAGGGTGAGGTGCAACATGGGAAAAGCTTGATGTTTTGTGGTTTGGACATACTGCTATGGAAAAACTAGTGTCCTTGATATGGAAAAACTGCAGTGTGTGATGCTTCTAAGGACCGTTCTGTCTGGGTTTGTAGTTCTCCTTGAGGGCTATCTCTTTGTCGAATGGGCCAGTTAGCAAAATAAACTCCCTTGGGCCAGGGATTTAGCTCAGTGGTTCCAGTGCATGCCTCGCAAGTGCAAGGTCCAGAGTTCAATCCCCAGTACCCCAAAAAAAGAAACTCCCTAGCCTTTAAAAGAAGTTAGACTAAAGTGACCTCCAAGGGCCTTGACAGTTCTGAAATCCTGAATTTTAGTTTTCATTTCAGCCTTCTGCCTCTGAATCCTAGGTGTTCTGCAAGTCCAGCTCTGGTGCCATCTCCTTTCGGAAGCCTTTCTGCTATATGCTTTCTGCTTTGGACCCCTTGGGATTCATTGCAGTTGGGCTGTGGCACTCATGGCAGTGTCAGGATCACCTTCCATGCACCCAACCACAACAAGGCACTCCTGTAGTCTTCACAGACTTGAAGGCTCCTTCTTGGCTTAAGTGGCTCTGTTTTTCTTCAGGTCCCCACAGCCCATCCTCCTCACCACTGTGCAGTGTGTATGCAGTTTGTGCGGAAGGAAAACTTACTCTCTCTGGCCTGTCAGCACCAGTTTTGCCGCAGCTGCTGGGAGCAGCACTGCTCAGTACTTGTCAAGGATGGCGTGGGTGTGGGTAAGTGCCACAGAACTTGTAAAAAGCTGACATGAAATATTTATCTTCTCCTCTGCCTTCTATGTGCTCAAGTGAGCTATTTTCATCTAAGACTTACAGAGGTTTTTGTTGTCAGAACTGGTGGTTTCCAAATCCCTCTCTCCACACAGTGGCAGAGTTTTACCCCTGTCCTTAGCAAAAGGAGAAAATTAAAAGTTATTGTAAGCTGGGCATGGTAGTATGCACATGTAATCCCCGTTACTCAGAAGGCTGAGGCAGAAAGATTGCAAGTTCAAGGTCAACCTGGGAGACTTAGCAAGATCCTACCTCAGAATGAATGAATGAATGCATAAATACATACATACATAAATAAGGCTGGAGATACAGCTCACTAGTAGAGCACCCCTGGGTTCAATTCTCAGTATCTTCCCCCACAAGCTATTATAAATGTTGGCTTGAGTATAAGTTTGGGGTTTTTTTTGGTACCGGGGATCGAACTCAGGTCCTTAGCTTGCAAGGCAGGTGGTGGAACCACTGAGCTAAATCCCCAGCCCTTGAGTATAAGTTTTATCTTGTCACCTTTTCCAATTGCCCTTTTAATCAGTTCCCCATGTAGCAGCTATAACTCAGAAAACACCTGAGTTTGCTAGTATTTAGGCAATGAAACAATTTTTTTTTTTTTGGTCCTGGGGATCACACTCAGGTCCTTCTGCTTACGAGGCAGACGCCAGAACCACTGAGCTAAATCCCCGGCTCCAGCAAATCAGATTTGATGATCTGCTACAGAAGTATTTTTATGTTATAACTTAATGATATTGAAGCTAATTATCATTGCATTAATTGGTATCTGCAAAATCTCATATTAATGATCACATGCACATAATTTTAAATATCACAAAACTAAATTGTTAGTCAAGAAACTATATAAAGAGCCAGGCATGGGCCAGGGATTTAGCTCAGTGGTTCCACCACTTGCCTTGCAAGCACAAGAACCCGAGTTAGATTCCCCAGTACCAAAAAAAAAATCCAGGCATGGTGGCGCATGCCTGTAATTCCAGAACTCAGGAGGCTGAGGCAGGAGGTTTGTTTAGAGTTCAAGGCCAGCCCAGGATAGGTAGTAAGACCCTGTCTCAATAAATAAATAAATAAATAACAGGCCCCGGGGATTTAGCTCAGTGGTTTCGCCCCTTGCCTCACAAGCGCAGGGTCCTGAGTTCAATCCCCGGTACCAAAAAAAAAAAAACCGTATATAATGATTTTGTTATTTAGTGGTGCTTTTGGTGTCATATATGTACTCTGGGATAATATCTTCATTGTATTACTATGAAAATGTAAATTTCTTCTTTGAATAAATTCTGTTGCTTTAAAGGTTTCTTATATAGAATCAGAATTTATTGGTTGAACTTCATGGGCAAGTGTATGTGTCTTCTGCAATAAGATTGTCCATCAGGTTGTTTTTGTTCAACAGGAGTCTCTTGTATGGCTCAGGACTGTCCACTCCGTACACCAGAAGACTTTGTGTTTCCGTTGCTTCCCAATGAAGAATTGAGAGACAAATACAGGCGCTACCTCTTCAGGGACTATGTGGAGGTATGACTAGCTCCTGTTTTTCTGCCCTCTGTCTTCCTGGACCTACCTTCTATCACATGATCACCATAGTTTACTTTATATATCAGGCTGCCTTTAGGTACATTTTTTTTTTTTTTTTTGGTACCGGGAATTGAACTCAGGACCTTGTGCTTGCCAGACAGGTGCAGCACCACTGAGCTAAATCCCTAATCCTAGGTACTGCTCTTTGAAGAAATAGCTCCATGGCTTTAAAAAAATTTTTAAAACCACTAGCATCGTAGTGAAGAACATAAGCTATGGAATCAGACGGCTACAGTATGAATCTCAGATCTGGTGCTCCCTTGCTGTGTGACCGTTGACTCATTAGTTTACCTCTCGTGTCTTGGGGTTTTTTTCCATAGACAGACATCCTTACTTTATACACAAATGCTTAAATAATTGTTATATGTCAGGGAATGAACACAGGTCAGGCATGTCTCAAGAGTTGCTATCTTATTTGGTTTGCTGTGTAACTCAGGACAATGAAGGGGGGTATTTCTTTTTAGCATTTTTTAAAATTTGTCCAGAATTCCAGTATGGTCAGTTTTGGAGTCCTTTCCCTCCTTTAGGCTGTCTATCCATGTTGATTCTATCCATGTATCTATCCATGTTGATTCCGTGTAGCATAATTTTCATCTTGGTTGTTTATGCCTAAGCTTATTGGGTTGATTTATGGTCTCACACACATGCTGTTTTTTGTGCTCTTGGCTGATTTTGTTAGATTCCTGAGGATCACTGAGCCCTTCAGAGCTACTAAACACACAGCTGACTGGGCCATGTTCCTTTCTAGCTTAGATCCATATGCATTTAAACTTTCTTTTTCTTTTTTGGTACCAAGAATTGAATTCAGGGCCATGCATTTGCTAGGCAGGCACTGCACTGCTGAACTACATTTGTACTTTCATCTCACAGATAGTTTTTTTGTCTTTTTTTTGGTATTTGTTTTGTTTTGAGACAGGGTCTATCCATGTTGCCGAGGCTGACCTCAAACTCCTGAGCTTAAGTGATTCTCCTGCCCCAGCCTCCCTGATAGCTAGGACTATAGGTACACACCACTGCACTTTGCCCATAGATACAATTCTGTATTCTGTTTTTTAATATAACCATAAGTCATTCTAGTGAGTTGCTACCTGGTTTAATCCAAATATTCAAAGGTTCTTTTCAATACCTGGTCTTCACAACATCAGCCCTGAATTTGTGTAGCCCTTTGCTATAAGTCATTGTCTGGAAGAACAAAGCATTTGAGTATCCAGAGAGATCTGTCTTTGAGGCAGCAACTTGGGGATATCTTCATTGTTTCCCCTTGGTGTGTTCACAGAGTCATTACCAGCTTCAGCTGTGCCCTGGTGCAGACTGCCCCATGGTTATTCGGGTACAGGAGCCTAGAGCTCGCCGAGTGCAGTGCAATCGGTGCAACGAGGTCTTCTGGTAAGAGTGAGTGAGTGTTGAGCAGCTCTGGGCTTTGTCCCATCCTCCAAAATACCAGGACTGCTGCTCTGTGAAAGCTGGGCGGGGTGGGGTGGGTGGGTGGCTATGTGTGTGTGTTTCTGAGCCATGTGAGCCACTCTGCTCTGTCTGAATAGGCAGGTTTGTGCCTTGCATCTCAGGTTTCAGGAAGTGTCTGATAAGTGTTCAGTTGGGAGATAAGAAAGTGGCATGGATTCTTGGAGAGTTGTGTCTGTGTGGGTATCTACCTGCACAGATAATTTGCACATTGTATTTAAAGGAACAGCCTTTGCTGGCATGGTGATGCACACCTGTAATCCCAGAAGTTGGGAGGCTGAGGCAGGAAGAACACTGTGAGTTCGAGGCCAGCCTGAGCTACATAGTGAGTTCAAGGCCAGCCTGAACTACATAGTGAGACCCTGTCTCAAAAAAGAGGGGGAGGGGGAAACTGCCTTCAGTGTTTTACTCTTTTTCTGTTTTTGCCTTTCTTGGATAATTTTTATAAAACTATTCTATACCTACTCAAGGTTTGTGCAACTCAGCAAGTGAGAATAGAGTTTACTGAAGGCTTACCAGGTGGCAGATACTATCCTGCTCACTTTCCCAACATATCATGACCGTATATGATTGGCTGTGTTATCTTTGTGTTCTAAGTGAGGAAATTCCAAGTGCAAAGAAAACCTACTGGTAAATGGCATAACCATAATTTTGGTCAAGATCTGTCTTCCTAATTGTAATTTTCTGGAAGATTCATGATAGGGTTTCTGAGAAAATACATGGAAAATGATCTGTGTGCATATCTCCCCTACCTTTTAAGACATTGTCGAGGGATTCTGTGGCCCACCAAAGGTTAAGAACAACTAAATACTGTGTTTCCCTGAAAATAAGACCAGGTCTTTAATTAAATTTTGCTGTGATGTGAAAGATGTAATAGGACTTATTTTCAGGGGATGTCTTATTGTTTCATATACAACAATATATTTATGCATGTACCAAAATCTCCCTTTATTCAGATGCAGTCATGTCATCTTCTGGAACAAAGTCATAACTCTCCAAACCTCAAATTCTGTGCTGAATTTCTTACAACTCCATTTCTTGTAGAATCATTGGTACCAATCTCTCAATAGAGCAATCCATAAACAGAACTCTCCTTAAATGAGCACTTTTTTTTTTTTAAGACAAGGTCTCTAATTCAGGCTGGCCTTGGACTCACTAGCCTAGGCTGGCATTAAACTCTCAGCGATCTTCCTGCCTAAGCCTCCTACATGCTGGAATTACAGGCGTGCACTACCATGCTTGGCCCAAATGAGTACTTCTTGTCCATGTAGTCTGCTCATAGTATATTTTCAGTGGTTTTCATCCCATGAATTCTTCACCCAAATCATAACCTCTTGCAGGCTAGGCTTCACAAAGTTTCCATTAAAGATTTACAAGGCAAGAGTGGTGCAAGGCGTGGTGGCACATGCCTGTAATCCCAGCACTTGGGAGGCTGAGGCAGGAGGATTGCCACAAATTCAAGGCCTGCCTGGGCTACATAGTGAGTTCAAGGCCAGCCTGAACTACATAGCAAGACCCTGTCTCAAAAAAAAAAAAAAGTGGCAACAAAAATGGTGACAATTAAGAATAATGGCCTATCCTCTTAAAAAAAAAAAAGAATAATGGTCCAGGTGGCCAGGGATTTAGCTCAGTGGTTCTGATGCCTGCCTCACAAGCACAGGGTCCCGAGTTCGATCCCTGGTACCAAAAAAAAGAATAATGGTCCAGGGGCTGGGGATTTAGCTCAGTAGTTCTGCCGCCTGCCTCACAAGCGCAAGGTCCTGAGTTCGATCCTGGTACCAAAAAAAGTAATAGTCCACACAAATGTGACAAAGAATTGCAGACACTAAAATTCAGAAAATGTTTATTTCACCTGAGTGCATTAAGTATGTCAGTTATAACACATGACGTGTTGAATTACGAAGATTCATATTCGACACAACCAAGTCTATTCATTGTCAAGTGCACATATTATTCGTGCATTGTATCTGTACTCCAATTGGTCATTGGGTAATAAGTCTCAAGTTCATCTGTTTAGGCATTTACCTCTTGTCCAAAGGCAACCACTTGGTTATTTACAAATACCTAATTATAACTTATATTATTTAAGTATTAATGTCAGTAGTATTATTTGTATTTAATTATTTGTTTTATTTTGGTTTTTGGTACCGGGGATTGAACTCGGGACCTTGCACTTGCCAGGCAGGCACAGCGCCACTGAGCTAAATCTCTCTCTGGCCCCTGTATTTTAATTATATATTAATATTATAATTTAATACATCCATCATGTGTTGCAACAGATATACTAATTGGGGCTTATTTTGGGGGTAGGCTTATATTATGAGGACTGTGAAAAATCATGCTAGGACTTATTTTCCATTTAGGTCTAATTTTGGGGAAATATGGTAGTTGCTCTTCATCCTTTGTCCCATATTATGAACTTTCCCTATTATGTTTGACTAGCTGCCAGAGGACCTTTGCTATCCACAAAGTACTGTTAGCTTGTTTTTTTTTTTCTGATTTTAAGTTTCAAATATCATCAAATGTCTCATGACCTGCAGATTCCACAAGTCCTGCTGTTTGTGGATCTTTGTATACACATCTGGTTGGGAGGTAAGGTGAGGCTTCCAAAAGTGAATCTCAGTCCTGCCCTGTGTCTGAGTCAGACAGGATCCTCTCAAAGCACGTCTCCATACCCTCACCAAGCTGAGCTCATTGTTGGAGTGTCACTCAGTGGTAGAGTGCTTTCTTAGTGTGTGCAAGGCCCTGAGTTCAGTCAACACCACTATTAAAAAAAAGAGAAAATAATAATAATAAAATAAAACCAAAAACCTGGGCCCTGTGTTTGATACCCTTTCAGGGAGGATTGAAACCATGTAACATCTTTTAACAACAACATTTTTTTGGACATACTGAGAGCATGTTTTAGAGGGGCTCAGAGTTGAAGAGACACTTATACAGTATTTCAGTATAATCCTGGGTAAGTAAAGGGCTTGAGAAGTGACTTTGCCTCTTTAAAAAGCTCTAATTCAGGATAATCTGGCTTGGACAAAAGGAAAATTTTAAATATAGACCCTGATTTAACAAATATTTGAATGCTTTTCTTTTCCAATTTCAAGTTTCAAGTGTCGTCAGATGTATCACGCCCCCACAGACTGCGCCACAATCCGGAAATGGCTCACGAAGTGTGCAGACGACTCTGAAACGGCCAACTACATTAGTGCTCACACTAAAGATGTAAGGACCGTATCTTACCTGTCACGGATCTGCCCTCAGTAGTGCCGCCCAGAGCCCTGCCCTGGAGATTTGCTATCAGAGCAGAACACACGGAGCCCCAGAGCCTTTGCTGGCAGCTGTGGACACTCACCCAAACTTGGTAGAGTTTGCAGCAACTTACCATAGGATGCATTGGGTGCACTTATTATAATAAAATGCTAAACTACTTGAAAAGTTTGGCCAAAAGGAGAACTAATTAGAAGAAAACTAGTTTTTATTGAACACCTGCCAGCTTTTAACATCCCTGGGAAAAGGGGATGTAATAGCCCAGATCTGCCTGGTTCTCGTTTTGCACTTTCCTATAGGAGAGCATGGTGTGCAACCTCTGGGGGCCACTGTGCCCTCGCTGAGTCCATACACTCCACAAGCACAGCTGTGACCATGATATCATTAAACATTGCCTACTTCATGGCAGTCAAAGTCTCAGATCAAGCTAGTCTACCATTGCTGCCTGGGGTAGCTCGATTCTCCCAAATGAAAGGGTGGAGCCTTAGAGGTAGTTTCCAGTGCCCTTTTCTGAAAGCAGAAGTCCAAGCAGTCTGACTAGGACTTAATCCCTTGTGATTGTGATCTCTTGGGCTTCTTTGGCAGCCCTTCCCAGCAGGCAGGCTTTCTGCTGATTCAGCCTGGGCTTAATCTGAGCTGCTTCATGTCAGGGACAGATGGTAGAAGATGTAGTGGGGCTCAGCTTGTGCTTGAATTGTTTCAAAGCCAAACATGCTGACCTCATTTCCTTGAATTGCTGTTCCAGCCTCAGCGACCTGCCACGTTTAAGTGAGATGTTCCTCCCCAGACGTGCTCGCATGATGAGCTACTGGGCACTGGTGCCAGGAGCTTTGTGTAATTTGTCTTAGAACTGGCCTGATGGTGCATGAGCCTAATGGCACCCTTCTGTCTCCTCAGTGTCCCAAGTGCAACATCTGCATTGAGAAGAATGGAGGCTGCAATCACATGGTGAGCAGAAGCCTGTACACTTTGCATGTATGACATGGAACCTTTGGTCAGCGTGCCCTTAATGTGTTCTCTTCTGTTTCCCTCTGACAGCAATGCTCCAAATGTAAACACGGTGAGTCCCAGGACTGGTGCCTAAGGCCCAATGGCACGGTCTGTGTATCTTGTGCTTGGGTCTCCGTGGCTTGTTCAGTGAGTTCTTTTGTAGTGAAATGCCAAAGGTGAGCCTGAGTCACTTTATAGATGTTATAGCTGGCCTAAAGCAGGTCTTGATTTTTATTTTCTATTTTTTGGTCCCTTTTATAATCTCACTGCCATCTTATTGACATACATGATCAGAAGTCAAGTTTGGGATGACCCCCATGGTGCTTGGTCATCCAAGAAGATTTTAGTGTCTATTTTATTCTTTTTATAAAGGCAGGTAAGTAGTTAGGGGCTTATCTCTGCTGCAGAAAATATACATGGTTTTAGCAGAGATAGTAAAATCATGGTTCTTCTATTAGAGGAATTTCCAGGGCAGCTTTTGATTTGGTCTTTTGGATCTCCTTTATCTATGAGGAACAGTTTACATAGCTAGGACCTGTTGATTTTGCTTTTCTTCCTGCCAAATCAAATGAAGGAACAGAATTCCTTCAAGTAGAAAATATATGCAGAGCATCTATAACTGCTTTTTGTTTTGGTTTGGCTTGGCTTGGCTTGGCTTGGGTTTTGTTTTGGTTTGTTTTTTTATTTTTTGAGGCAGTGTCTCACTGTGTAGTTTAGACCAGCCTTGAATTCATTGTGTAGCCTAGGTTGGCTTTGAACTCACAGTGATCCTCCTGCCTCAGCCTCCCAAGTGCTGAGATTACAGGTATTGGCCACCATGCTCAGCTTACATAACTGCTTTAATGCTGGACAAGAGATCCTGACAATTTCTATTTGTAAAGGTCCATGCTGATGATATTTCCCCAGAACCCTGTAATCATAATGCACATGGAAACATGGAATGGTCCTAGACAGGAATTGTGACTCTCATGATGCAGAATGAAGATAGGCTGGGGGAGGTGCCATATTTCCTTGGTGGGATGTCTCTCTCTCTCTCTCTCTCTCTCTCTCTCTCTCTCTCTCTCTCTCTCTCTCTCTCTTTCGCACACACACACAATATTACATTGGGAATAAATGCAGTTTAAAGAAGAATAACAGCTGGGCATGGTCACCTGTGCGTAGTCCTATATACTTAGGAGGCTGAGGAAGGAGGATCACTTGGCATAGGATGTCAAGGCCAGACTGAGCAACATAGTGAGACTTGTCTCTGGGAAAAAAAAAAAAGGCTGGGCATGGTGGTACACCCTGGTAATACCAGCTGCCTGGGAAGCTGAGGCAGGAGGGTTTGTGAGTTTGAGTCCAGCCTGGGCAACTTAGTGACTTAGCATGATCCTGTCTCAAAAAGGGCTAAGGATGAAGCTCAGTGTAAAGTACCTGGGTTCAATTCCTAGTACTCAAAAACAAATGAGGGGGAACAAGCACTCCACTACCTACCTCATTCCTCGTGCCTGAGAAGCTCCCCATGTGCCCTCCCCCAGTGACAATCTCCCTCTTTCAACACCCAGAGTCAGTTATCATCCCTTGCTCCTGTGGTAATTACACCACTTAGTTGAGCAAGTCTGAGCAATGTATTGACTTTAAAATAGGAACAAGCAAGCTGGTTGCGGTGGTGCGAGCCTGTAATCCCAGTGCTCTGGTCGGCTGAGGCAGGAGAATTGTGCAAATTCGAGCATAGCCTGAGCAATTTAGACAGCAATATTGTCTCAAAATAAAAAATAAAGGGCTGATGTTAAGCTCAGAAAAGGAAAACGAACAAGCATAACGAGCATAATCTAGGTGGTTAGAGAGGGCAATGTTACCACTGTTAGATGAATGTCTCTAGGAAAAGAGAAGCTGAATGACATCTAGGTCTCTGTTTTCCTCAAACTTTACAAGAGCCCGTTTTGGAAAGTCATTGTGCCAGTTTATAAGAATGAATCATGGGGGGCCAGGGATTTAGCTCAGTGGCAATGTGCTGGCCTTGCAAGCGCAAGGTCCTGAGTTCAATCTCTGGTACCAGGGGAAAAAAAAAAAAAAGAATGAATCATGGGAAATAGGGTTTACCACTAGCAGAGTCTCTGGCAGAGACCGCTAACAAGGGTCAAGTCTGTCAGGTATAGACCTCTGAGGGTGAGAGAGGCTCTGCGTCTGAAGGGTTGGATTTGTCACCATACAATACAGCCATGCATGCTTCTGTTTGTGTGTCCACATGTACTGATGTTGGGCCTGCTAAGGACCTAGCCCTCTGCTGGATGTCCAGGAGATTTCTAAAAGAGTTCTGTTAGGTAACCCCTCTGGAGCAGGATCTGTTCATCCCAGAACTGTGCATGACCCGTTTCTGTTAGACTGTATAGCTGATATGTGGCATCCTTAGGGGGATCTTTAATTTTTCCTCACTGTAGAAGCAGAGGCATAATTCTGATAATGACTGTTGGATATATGTAGTTTTTATAGAAATGTGTAGTTTTGTTTTTGTTTGATTTGTTTGTTTGACACAGGGTCTCACTATATAGTTCAGGCTGGTCTTGGACTCACATGTAGCCCAGGCTGGCCTCAAACTCATGGTTATCCTCCTGCCTCAGCCTCCATGTTCTTTACATAAAAGGAAAATACCTTTATTCCCAGCTTCATTTATAAAAGTCTTCCCAGGATAAGCAAAGGTTGTGAGGGTGGGAGGTAGTCAGGAAGCGGTTTTATAAATGGTGTGTGGTGTGTTCTAGGTGACTAGGTGGGGCTCATTTGGACAAGTTTTTGTCACAAGGCATTGGCACAGACCAGTGATCTTGTATAGTCAGCATCTGTTGATTTTGTAAGGCACACAGCACATGGAATGGAGAGTATCTATAGACCATTGTCAGCAAAGACAGGCTATAGGGATAGTGAGGTATGACAGGGATGAACATGCACATTTCCTCTGGGGGGAAAAGGAAAGGGGAAAAAAACCTTGAGAAGGTCTGGCTAGCTGACCCCTCTGCAGCAGGCTCTGTTTATCCCACTGCTTTTCCTGTGTATGAGGTTGCTTTGTATGTATAAATGACTTTACCCTCTGTTCTGTGCAGACTTCTGCTGGATGTGTCTAGGAGATTGGAAGACTCATGGCAGCGAGTACTATGAGTGCAGTCGGTACAAGGAGAATCCTGACATTGTCAACCAGAGCCAGCAAGCCCAGGCCAGGGAGGCCCTCAAGAAGTACTTGTTCTATTTTGAGAGGGTAGGTGTTCTGCCTTTCTGCAGTGTAGTCTTTCGCCAGCTGGCCTGCTGAAGTGAGGTGACTGGGGTAACTGGTAGCCAAAGCAGCTCTTGAACATAGAAGGCAGTGATTGGAGCTCCTGCATCCAGCCCTGGGTGCTTTCTCTGTAGATCTGGCTTTCAGGCTACAGGGCAGTCATAGCTGAGGAGAAAGCACCTGATACTCACCCTGGTTGCGTGATGGATGGACAGACAAGGGCTATCAGTCTTTTCCATAAGTTAAAGGAGTCTATGCTGACATGCCTATCCTAAATTCTTTTTTTTTTTGGTACTGAGGATCGAACATCAGACCTTGTGCTTGGCAAGGCAGGCGTTTGCACCATTGAACTAAATCCCTGGCCCTATTCTGAATTCTTGAGTGGATCTCTGTCCCTTCCCAGGATGCCTGCACTTTTATCCTTTCTTCTCTGTAGTGGGAAAACCACAACAAAAGTTTGCAGCTAGAGGCCCAGACATACCAGCGGATTCATGAGAAGATTCAGGAGAGAGTCATGAACAATCTGGGGACTTGGATTGACTGGCAGTACCTACAGAATGCTGCCAAGCTCTTGGCCAAGGTATCTACCACCTCACTTTTTGATCCCCAGTTCCCCAGGGGCCCTGTCGGGTGCAGAGCTCTGAGGGTGAGAGAGGCCCTGTCTCTGAAGGTTGGGGGATTTGGCATCATACAACACAGCCATGCATGCTTCTGTTTGTGTGTTCATATGTGCTGGTGCTGAGCCTTCTGCTGGACGTCCAGATTTCTAGAGTATTTCATTGTCTGCTGGGAAATTATAGTTCTTTTCTTCTTTTTCTCATCTCTGCATTATTCAAAGGAAAATATGAGATTGTCTTTGGACAAGTATTAAGATAGATGTGTGTACTCTGATGTCCTCAAGAGGGAAAAGTCATGAAGTAGCTGCTGGTAATAAATGTTTAAAAAAGGAACTATGGGTGTTTGGTGTGGTGTCCTCTTTTAGCTTGGCTTCATATAGAGCCAGGCTAATTTGTATGATAAGGTAAGAATTATAAAAGATACATATTGGATGTATATTGGTTAGAATCAGACACAAGTCCCTTTTATTCTCTCCTGTTGCAGTGTCGATACACCCTGCAGTACACCTACCCATATGCATACTACATGGAGTCTGGCCCCAGGAAGAAGCTGGTAAGGCAAAGTAATCCTCCATTCTGTTTTGTATGTTCTTAGGTATCCTTGTCTACTATCACTTTGGAGGACAGCAGGGACCTGCCTCTGGTCACTGGGAGAGCAAAATTAAAACAGTCTAGCAAAGCATGACGGAATGTACCTGTAATCTGAGCTACTGGAGAGTCAGAAGCAGGAAGATTACGCGTTCAACATCAGCCTGGACAATTTAGCAAGATTCTATCTCAAAATAAAAAGGGATGAGAGTATAGATCATTTAGTTCAGTGGTATAGTACTTGCCTAACTCACATGAGGCCCTGGGTCCAATTCCCAATACTGAAAAAAAGGGCTGGGGATTTAGCTCAGTGGTTCCGCCACCTGCCTCGCAAGCGCAAGGACCCAAGTTCGATCCCCGGTACCAAAAAAGAAAAAAAACCTGTCCAATTGCAAACTCTGTTTCTGCTCTGCACATCTCCAAAATAGATCTCAGGTACTATCATTTTGTTTCAAGTAAGGCAGATTCACCTCAGCCCTTGAATAATGATGTTTAAAGCACATTCAATTGAAAGGACTGTGGCCACTTGGAAGGCCAGTATCCATGCTTCAGAGTATACCGATTATGCATGGCCCTAAGTTAGTTAACTCCCCCCAACCCCTGGTACTGGAGATTGAACTCATTGCCTTCAGACTAAGCTACAACCCTAGCCCTTTTTTTATTTTTCATTTCGAGACACAGTTACACAAGATAGACTCAAAGTTACAATCCTTGTGCCTCAGCTTCTGGGGTAGTTGAGATTACAGGTGTGAGACACCACATCTGGATATAGTTAACTTTTTTATCTCTTTAATTTTTCATTTTAGGTATGGGTTATTTCCTGCTGATTCTAAAGTAATTCACATTTATTGTTTAGATGTTGGAAAATACAGCACAGCATTTACATCATCCATAATCCCACTAGAAGAAAATAATCACTGTTAGCATTGTCCAGACTTCTCTTTTTGTTTGTTTGTTTTGGTTTGGGTTTTTTTGAGACAGAGTCTTGCTTTATAGTTCATACTAGCCTCAAAACTCTGAGATGATCCTTCTACCTCAGGCTCCCAAATACTGGGATTACAAGCATGTGTCACCAATGCCCAGTTTGGGATTGTGTTCTTTGGTGGCTTTAAATTCTTCTGCTTCCTTTGGTGGCAGATGGCAAATGTGACCTTGCCATTTGTCCATGCTCTTTGGGTAGACTTTTGTTTGGATCTCGTTTTCTGGCTCTAGGAGTAGGGAACAGTGTGCTCTCTGAAGGAAGTGTCAGGGCTGTCTGTAGCTCATGCGAGCCTGAGGTGCTGGATGGGCCCTTCCATCTGCAGGCCATGCCCGTGTACAGCCCCCTCCTTTTGACCCTTCTGCTCTGCCCATACAGTTTGAATACCAGCAGGCTCAGCTGGAGGCTGAGATCGAAAACCTCTCATGGAAAGTGGAACGTGCAGACAGCTATGACAGAGGGGTAAGTGCCTGTTTCTTCTCTGGCAGGTGAGAGGGGACTGGCATGATAATAAGTGATGGGGAGTTGGCATGTAAATTGGAAGCTGTAAAATTGTAAATTGCTGCTGATGGAGGTAGGAAGGGCAGTGCTTAGGATTTCTTGTAGCCCTTGGCATGGTAGATGTGGCTTTGGTTTTTCCCAGCTCCTGACACTGATCCATGCAAGCACTCATCTTGCTTCCCTTGTATAGGACTTGGAGAACCAGATGCACATAGCAGAGCAGCGAAGGAGAACCCTGCTAAAGGATTTCCATGACACTTAAGTCGGAACATGGATGTGCCGGGCTGAAGATGTGGCTGTGAGGTCTCCCAGATGCCATACTGCATGCTGCAGACTTTGCCTTTTACGACCCAGGTTGCAGCCAGGGCCCAACTCCTGAGAGACACTGGCAACACACCTCTTAGTTGATTTCTGTTTTCTTCTCATCTTTGGCTTTTTGTTTCTACCAGGGTAGAGGCCATGTTGAATTGACCTCTTTTCAGGACTTTTAATTCCCCCTGGATGGTTGTTGGGAGGGAGGGAATTTTTTTTTCTGAACGGCTATTAATAGAATTAGATCATTACAACTTACGTAATTTTCAAAGGTTGTGTAATTATTTTAAAAAAAGGCAAACCATAGGATAACACAACGCCCTTTTTAAAAATAAATTGGCATTGGAGTGTTTTCACCTCTAGCTATTTTATTTAGAATGTAACATATACTGCCCACCCATCCTGCCTCAGAATGTCTGCCTCTGCTTTCCAGCTTCACGTGTTTGGCCACAGCTGGAGTCTCAGGGGAAGAGCATGGGTGGTAGATGGTGGGGACTGACTTGAGTTGGCCTGTATAACAGGCATGGAGCACAGGGAATCACATATTGCCTCCTGCCTTTCCTGGGCAATGAAGAGACAGAACAGAGTCTTCTTTTCTTTTTTCTTTTTTTTTGGTACCGGGGATCAAACTCAGGACCTTGTGCTTGTGAGGCAGGTAGACTGAGCTAAATCCCTGGCCCTCAGAGTCTTCTTTCTGTGGGCTCAACTTTGTTCTTGAAACTAAGGGTTACCTGGATCTGGCTACTGAGGCCAGAACCTGTAGTAGATTATAGGTGGGCTTGTAGCCCTCCAGACTAGGGGACAGTGGTTGAGCATGGTGCTTCCTTTTGTCTCCTCAAGATAGACATCCAGGGCTAGGGATTTAGCTCAGTGGTTCTGCTGCCTGCCTCGCAAGTGCAAGGACCTGAGTTCAATCCCCCGGTACTAAAAAA